AGGTCCAACTAGAGAATCTTAGCATCAAATGCTAAAACGGCTTCTGCAACTGAGATTGTAGCACATGATGATGGTTATTGAGAACAACCAAAAAATAAAATAACACTATAAAATCATGAGAAAATATGCACAAGACAGGTGATACTTGAAACAATCAGTGAATGCAATGACTTCGACAGAGTGTGACAGAATCAACACTCTAGGGTTGTAGGGCACAGCATGATTTATCCAGTGTGCACTATAGGTATTTAAGAAGAACTGATCTTATATCACTGTTTGTATGTTCAGATACCATCACTTGGGATCAGATACCATCAGCTGCAGAATAAAACTCAATACCTCTGCATTCTCTCACACACAGAAATGGTACCCCTAAGTTGCAACAGGATAGAGCTAAAACAATATACATCACAGTAATGAAGTAGCATCCTAAACTGTTTCTATTTTCAAAAAATATAAATGCATACAAAATATGTAACCATTAAAGAACAATTCAGGTTATGAAAAAAGTCACTTGTGGTAATTCAAAGGGAAACCTTCAGGAACTACACACCAATAAACACTGTTGGTACTGGGTTTGATGGATACTTGGCATACAATTCATTACCAACAAATCTTGTGCTTAAAGATCCAGGGAACGCTGTGTTGTTGCTCCTTCTGGAGGTGAGCAGCTCAGTATACACGTTTGGCTAGCATCAGACCTCACTGTATTCATTAAGCTTGCAGACATTCTAAAATTGAAAAGACAAAGACACTTCAACTGCATGGACATATTTCAAGAATATAATTTACAGAATATCTACATTAACATATGGACCAGCAATAATCCAGGCACGTAATCTGGGAAAATATATCTTGTCCCTACAATCAACAGGTCCGGTATCTGAGGATTATGAACATATGAAGCTATTATATAGTTCATGGTGTCAGAATCTAGCCCAATGCAGTCTACTCTGAGTGGCAATAGCTCTCCATGTTATTAGGAAGACATCTATCTAAGACTTGTTACCCGAAGCCTTTTATCTGGAACAGCCAGGATTGAACCTGGGATCATGTTCTAATATTGATCTATGGCTCCTTTTATGACTGAGATCCTGCTAACAGAATATTGCATTTTGGATTGCATGGATTAATTTATGGGGGGCAGCCCCGTAGCTAGGGAATTTGGGGGGAGGGGGCGTCGAGGGGCCCACCAGCTAATTAAACGAAAGTACAATGCAGGTGGTAAGTTGTAGCACTTTGGGAGGGAGGGGGCCCAGAAGAAACACCAGGGGGCCGGGCCCCATGGGCCCCATGCTAGCTATGGGCCAGATGGGGGGGCAGAGGTGTAGACTCAAAGTGTTACTGTTCACTGCTGTAGTATATGTGTGGGATGGATAGAGACTGCTACAGCAGGGACAAAAACAAGTACTTTAGTCAATGACTAATTAAATTGTGGAATTCACTGCTAGAGGACATAGTGATGGCCACTGGGATAGATGGCTTTGAAAGGGAATTAGATAGGTTCATGTCATTGTTATATCAGTATTGTATCATTCTTTAGTACACTATATAAGTTCATGATATGATCTATCTGTCTGCACTGATACGTATTGATGTTACATTGACCCTTGTAAGGCGATTTTACTTGTACTCTTATGACCTAAACTGGAAGATATTTCTTTATTTATATTTAATTTGTCATGTTTTTATTGATTATATTTTACTAATTGTTACAATTTGGAATTTACTTTCATTTTTATTTCTAGGTACATATTGACAAAGGAGCCGTGGTGACTTAGAGGTTAAAATGCTGAGCTGCAGACTGGAAGTTCAGTAGTCCGGCAGTTCGAGACCCTAGTGCTGCAGGACAGAGTGAGCTCCCATCTCTGGCCCCAGCTCCTGCCAACCTAGCAGTTCGAGAGCAAGAAATTGCAAGTAGATAAATAGGTACTACTTCGGTGGGAAGGTAACAGCGTTCTGTGCACCTTGGTGTTCAGTCATGCCGGCCACATGACCACGGAAACGTCTTCGGACGGCGCTGGCTCTTTGGCTTGGAAATGGAGATGAGCACTGCCCCCTAGAGTCAGATTCAACTGGCTTTCAAGCAAGGGAAACCTTTATATTTACTTTACATATTGACAATATTACTGTCTTTAATAAATGTAATTGCTTCTGACACAAGGCCAGATACATTTGTGGCCCCACAAACATTATTTTTGGTGTCATTCAATTCCAGATTGGAAGTAAGTATATTAAATTAGGGTACAGTAAAGTATGCATTTTTAGTATTAGATGGGATTTTTCAATTGGGTAATTTAATATTAATCAAATAGTTTTTATTTCTCCATACAGGATTCCATTTTTGGTTCTATATAGATTGTTTACTGCCTTACAAGTGTAACAGGGGCTTTGTTGTATGTTGTATTCTGTACAATTTGACCTCTGAAGAAGGCTCTTGTGGACTGAAGGCTCTTGTGGGTTCTTTTTGTACATTTGTCACTTTGATTATTTTATGAGGCTTTATTTGGTCCCCTACAAGGTTTTTATATGTTTTTGAAATAAACACGTGTACCTTTGATGTTTTAAACTTTTGGGCATTTACTAGTTTTCTAAACTTCCTTTGGAGGTTTTTGCTTGGTTGGTTCAGTTTTTCTTCCCCTCTCTTTTTGGGTCATGGAAGAGAGGTCCACCAAAGACAAGTAGTCACAAGGGAACCTTTATATTCAAAGGCAGTAAGTCTTGGAATACCAGTGCTAGGAGGCAACATCAGGCCTCTATGCCCTGTTGGTTGGCGCTCTAATGCAACTGGTTGGCCACTGAGTTGAAACAGGATGTTGCAACACTGGTCTGATCTAGCAGGCCTCCTGATATTATGTGATTTTTTTTCTATGCTGCTAAAAAAAGATTCATGAAACTCATTTGTCTCCAATGAGTAATTATTTCCACCAAATCCGCATGAAAAGAAGTGCAGGGAAACAGGCTGTTTGAGATGGTCCATAGATTCCATGGCCACCTCACTTTGGACTAAGCTGTGAGCCTTTCACAGCCTGAAACCAGAAGGCAGGGAGATTCGTAGCATGTGGGACCCTTGAAACCATGTGGTGACTATAAAAGTTGAGGCAAAACAACAACAACAACAAAACCCTAGTTGCTCAAAAAGACCCAAGTCTGCAAAGAACCAATCAAACAGTGCATATGTTTCAAACAGCTAAATGATTGTATTTCCTCCTCTCTGCAGCTGAGCTGAGCTAATACCCACAGCTTTCCTTAGTTCAGTCGATTAGCCTAGAGCAATTTAGGTGGAAAAGAAGGAGGAAGCCTTTTTCTAATTGAATTACCGAATGTGGCTGTTCATGGAAATAGCAGGGAGAAAGGAACAGAAAACAACAGTCCATTGACTATGTTGACTTTAATCTGTCTTGGAGGGGATTCTGTCTTGGGCTATGGCCAACTTTGTAGTCATGCATAAAACAATGGAAAGCCAGACTCCATACGCTGCCTTTGAGCATTTGATTTAAGAACAGTTGCAGCTGTATGGAACCTCCAGTGCGTGCAGCAGGAAGCAGAGGGAATGGCAGAAAGAGCCACAGCTGCAGCAGGTGACCATCACTGGCCACAGTTGACTCCAGCTACCCACAAGCCCAGATGTGCAGGTTGCCTTTGTTTCCAGATACCGGCCGCATGTGTATTCACATGAATTCTGCATATGCAAACAATTATGCCAGAGTCCTGTGGAGCTGTTTGACTTAGAAGAATCACTGGCGGCTGGGGGAGGCCTGATATAAGTTTAGAGTCTCCTGGTGAGTGCAGAAAAGAAAAGACTTACTCACCTCTCTCAATATGGAAGTTTTCAGGTCATCCCAAGAAATTAGCAGGTAGGAGATACAAAAAGGAAATACCTTATCACATAGCCTATAATACAGCCATGCACCTCTTTGCTGCAGTTCTGAAGGCCACTGCTATCAGAGGTGTTTTTTGTTGTTGTTGTTGTTGCTGTTAAAGAATACTATCAGTGGTGATGAACCACAAAAAGCAGAAATGGCATATCGTACAGCTCTCGACTACTAGATGCTGAGAATGAGCAAAGGCTGGCCATGGCACATCTTTTGAATTTCCCAGAGGCATTCAATTGGATATTTTGACCCCAATAGGAAAAAAATGACAGTTCTCATCTCTTTATATAGTTAGACTCACCCTGTGTAGTTGAATAGCACCAACAGCTGAAGAAAGGGACTCAAAGAAGACAGGGCTTTCAGATTCCAGCTTTCCACCGAGCTTCATTGCCTTTATCAACGAAGCTGTAACGTGGCATTACATAGGAACATTTAGACTTTTTCAGCACATCGAAAAGTGTCAGTTGTTAAATTTATATGCTCAGCAAACCAATACTTGCCTTTGCAGTTCACTAGCAAAACATCAATATTTCTTTTTTTAGAATCCATGCAGATCTAAAAGAGTGCAAACATTAAACATCTTACCAAAGAGGACATAGGATCAAATTGAAATGAAAACATTGCCTCTCCTACCCACTACTCCCCATAATTGGGTTTTGATATCTGGTGGCTTTTAAATTAATCCGCTCAGATGGACTACATATGAATATGCATATGGAAATTAGCAAGGCACATTACCCCTCCTCCCACTGCATTAGGAAAGCCATGATTCCTACTTGCGTTTAATATGCATTCAAAGGCTAAAACCCGTAAGGATTTTTTAAAAACAAAAAATATCCATGCTATAATGAATATGGCCACTAGAGAGAGCTGTTCCATAATATAAACATCCCACTCTCTAAACCTATTATAGTTTTGTAGTATCCCGAGACTAATAATGCCACACTGAAAGTGTTTGACTGTGCTAAACTGTTATGTGCTCACTTCGATCTGATAATAACACGAGATAGGATGTAACTTTGATTTTTCTTTTGCAATCTATCTGATCAATATCAAAACAAGGCACAAATACCATATGAGACGCTGCCACGTCTACTGAAAAAATGGGCTAATGCTCAGAACGTTTTGTTTGCATGCAAGGATTAAAATCAGGTTTTGCTGAAAGCATTATATAGAGCAAATATTAACCATACATTGGCCACAATACAGTCAGTGGTATTGGTCTGAATGTACATTCATTGTTTATTCCTAATGCACAATACGGATTTCCTAAATGGTGCATAACAATCTGAGGTCAAGACTTCTAAAATTCTTGCATGGAGCATGCTAACCACTGGATCTCAAGGAGGCCGCTTTTTCAACATATGAAGTCTCTCTGCTCCACCATAAACATCTCCATCAGGGAGTGCATGGCTTTTCTCTGATAAATACCAGCAAAGGGAGAAACCTTTTTTAAAAATATGGTGAAAGACCCTTTTGCATTTTCCTGTCCCAGGGTATCAATGGGCTTTGTAATGTATTCAGCCTGACATGCCCGGACTTGCCCGGGCTGGCCAGGCACAATTCCTATGTTAGCTTCAGTCGAAAGACAAAGGATCCGGAGGATCCAAGCCGGCCCTATCAAAAGGGCTAGCTTCCCAGCCGGGAGACCAATGGTCGCCCGGTTACTGTAAATAGCCTATCGGGAGTAGGGGGTGTGTTTAGGTATGCTTGGTGGCGGGTTTTCTGAACATATATAAACCGGCCTGCGAGCCGGTCAGTTGTCTTTGTCCTGAACTAAATAAAGGTATGCTTAGCTGAAATCACTCTCCGTCTGCATACTTTTCACTGGCGACGAAGGTGGGATCCACGACCCCATGAACAAAGACCCGGACGCCAACACGAGCGCTGCACCGAGCACCGACGCCGAGACCTCCGGGAACCGCGCCGCTTCGCACCCCAGTTCTCCAGCAACCGCTCATCGCCCCGCTCCCGGCTCCGCTCCGCACCCTGCTGACCCCGAGAGCAGCAGCGCCCTCCTCAACGCTCCAGTTGCCGCCGCCATCACAGGGGAC